CTTATGTAAGAGCTCTTTACTCGTATCCTTCTTCATAATAACAAAGTATTTTTAGCACCATTATGGCTGTCTCCAACACACTTGTCACCGTATTCCACTTTTCTCTCGCACCATCATTCTTATGCCCAAATCCGCCCATACCAGCTTCTAACACCTCCATGCCGGCATTCAATGTGATGTTTTTGCTTAAAGCACCATCTTTATTCCATGAGAACTGTAGTATTTACCACCTTTTGTCATTTTTTTCATCATCTGCACTTCACCCTATTTTTTCCCCTAGCCATCATATTCTTTTTTTCCCTCTACTCACGATCATTTCTTCTATTTCTTTCTTATTTATTAGCTTCCACATTACATAGTGCTATTAAAATAATTAAGGATGATGATGAATGAGTAATAGCCAACACAATAGTTGCTTCATTCAAATGAACTCAAGAAAAAATAAGTTTTAATGTCAATAACAAATGTGGTCCCCACTGACAATCTCTAATCTATAGATTGAATTTTTGATGCACCGAGTTGTTGTAAGAAATTGTGTGGCACCTGTTGACCTTAGTAATGATGAAAGTTGATTTAGGCTTTATGGAGCTTTTAAAACCATAATTTTATCACAGTGAGATATTTGTTAGTATGTGTTTGGATACTCATATCATTTAATTTTGTCTTTTTGTACTTTATTTTGATAAAGATTGGGTAAAACTATATATAAGATAAATAAATTTTATTTTGGAATCGTGTTTTACCCTTTTCCGGACGTATATGTCTGATTTTCACAAAAAAATAAGTTATCATCCAATTATTTACTAAACTTTGAGAGAAATTCTTGAATTGAACCATTTTCTAGCGTGCTCAATAATTGTTATATATTCGGGTTTCGTTGCAAAAATATTGTCTTTTATAACTATGATACCCAAGTATAGTACCGCCACTCAAGCTAAAAATATCACATTTTGTATCTCCTCAGGTCAATGTTTTTCAAAATGCGTGATGTTTGCTTCGCTTCGCTGAAACATGCTTCGAAGTTCTAGTTAATTTGCAATTTTTAATTATTGCAATAAACTATTAGAAATTATTCAAAATTTTAAGTCGTAAGTTTGCCATGAATGTTTGCCTTCAATTTAGGATTACATGATATTCTTTTCTATTTCATATCAACTTTTAAGTCATTTTATTTTTCTTATTATTAAGAATATATTTTTATATTAGTAGTTTTATTTAACATATTAGTGTTTTAGTTAATAAAATCAATGTTTTTTTCAGGGATTTGCGTTTTGAAGCAAAATGTAAATCCTCGCGCATCACATTAGGCTTTTCGCTTTGATAACATTACTTCAGGAACTGAGTAGCACAAAGTTCTTTTCACAAACATCTCATGCGTCTTTATGGTGCCTTCCCATTGCTTCCATTATACACACCAAAACTTGCAATTGTAAATGAGCCACTGAAACATGAAGTACTTTGGACGTATGCACTATCTTTTCATTAGTTTCAAGTGACTTTGTATTTGAGAGTTTGATTTTGCTTTTAGCAGTTTAAATCTAGTTTACACATTCTAAAAATAATCAGTCTAAGATAGCTTTGAAGCGCCATCTTTTTCATCTTATAAACATACTATGATGCGATCTTAAGAGTGACCTCTTTTAATTATTCTTTGAATCTCTCATAGCTGTTCATCTTGCTGCTCTTCCTGTACCTTCAATATTCAAAATAGAAAATATTTGTCTCTTGATTCTCTCCTTTAGAAGTCTTATGATAGGATTAAGCCTTAGGCACTGTTGAGTTTTAGCTTCATCAACCCATGAGAACTAATCACCATCCCATTTATGCTCCAAGTTTCACGCATTGACGAGTCTAAAGCGCTACTGCCATCATTGACATTGATATCAGCTGAACTCAACTTATAGCTTGTTTTGGGGTTGCAATAACAATTTATAAAGTCAAATGTGCTGCTATAGATAAATCTTTGTTTGAAATAATTACATAATTTATTTAGAATATGGATGGATGATAAAATTACATATGCTATGTAAAACAGGGGCATCGCTTGACGTAGAATAATGAGATCAATCATAGAAAATTCTTCCAGTCAGTTTTTTTTTTGAAAAGAAATAAAAAATATTTGAGCAAATGCTTGTGTGGTTGTAGTTTAAAAAATAAAGTTTGGAAGTTTTCTCAAACAGCCCCTTATCTTATGATCAGATTAAGCTTATTGATATGCTTCTATTGTAAAGGCATCTTTGTCATCCTGAGATTAAAAAGCTATTCTCATCATTTATGTTTATATTTGTGCAAATGGCTTTTCATACGTATTTGATAGAGCTTTTTTCAGTTTAGTTGTAAGATTTTCATGCAGTATAGAGAAAGCAATATTATTTGAAAGTGATAGCAGCATAGTGCCTCATGCCTATGTATCAAGAAGATTTTTTTCTCGTTAACTCATGCATGCTAATTTTATTTTCTATAGAGGCGTATAAAGCTTATTCCAGTTTAAATAATTAGTATTTGGTATTTAAAATCATTTTAGTTAAACTTCTCGTTCTTTACTTTTCATCATTGTAGTTTTTTCTTGGAACCTAATAACTTGTTTTGAAGCGTGTTGTTGGAAAATATCGGAAGTTAAATTGACGACAGAAAAGTACTACAGAAAACTTAAGACCAAGAACACATGAAATAATGTGGTTCAGTGAAAGTTATCTCATACATTTATGAACACGCTATTTTTACGGGAGTCAAAAGGTGCATATCATAATTTTTTTTCTTGTAATGATCCTCTAAATTTATGAGAAAATGGATAACTAGAAATAATATTAAGTGAATATAGCTCTAAAAGGAAACATATCAAAATGGTATTTGTATGTTATAGTATAAAACAAGTATTATGTGTCAAAGTTTGGTGGTGGTAAGACAAGCATCATAGTCCAAATGTCAAACATGATGGTGCCAGATGCAAGCATTGTGGTGCCCAAAGTTAACATATTGTGTTGAAAATAATAGTGGCATGAGAAGCAAGCATAGAGATTCCGTAAAATATTTGGCTATTTTAAATATTGATGTAAAATAAGGTTTGATTGATATGAACTCGACAAAGTCTCTTAAAATTATAAGTAGATTCTTTCATAACTCTTTTGAAATGTTGAGGCATGTTTTAAGAGGAAATTATGTGCTCCTTTTAAACTTCAATGGGATATTTCTCATGTGGCCATGGAGCAGGTGAGACAAGCTTGATGAACCACGCAATTTCTTGCATTCTTTATAGAAATTTTTTTAATACAATTTTATCTTTGTTTTCCTCCTCGATTTACCTGACAATCATTTCATTTGCTCTCACCATATAAGGGTTTAAGTGTTCTGTGTTTTGAGGTTAAATGAATAAGTGTTTTGTGGCGTGAGGTTTAACTTCATTTTTGTAGTCTATGTAGGCTTCACATTATCGAGTAAAGACTTGGTGCATGCACTTGATAGTGCAAAAAACTTTCATTTGTGGGAAGTAACTTTTAATATTGAGCACTTGTGGAGCCAATAGCACCTATCTAAATGAAAATAAGAACTAAGATTTTAATGCTAGTAATGGCCCTTGCCATCAACTTATTTTTTTGTGTTGATGGATGCCCATCTTTTTGCATATTGGGCTCAATATGGGTTCCCGATATTCCATCCTTCTAACATTTTGCAGCTGAAACGATGAAAACATTTCTTATAGGGCCAAACTTGTATTTATTTTCAGTATGGGCATTGTCTATGCCATTTTTTCTATTATTTTATTTGTGCTAAATGTCATGACCATTCTTATTATTATTATCGTCTTTTTTACTAATTTTTTATTAATTTTGTTACTGTGGTTCCTGAGGATCCTTAAGATGAATGATGATGCTATTTTATGATTTATGAATGATGATTACTTTTAAATTTAAAGTTCTTAATAAAATGTAATGCTTGAAAATTTTTTATGATGCAGTGCCTTGCTGAACTGGTAGTTATTCTTTTTAGTATTTTCTTTTCTTATTCCATTATTCTTCTATTTCTATATTTCTATTTTTATTATTGTACATCCGAAAAGGGCCTTGCTCAGCTAGGCATAGGCTTAGCTCAAGCTAAGTTTGCAAGATATGAGAGACAAAGATAATGAACTTGTCAGGATCTCGAGAAACTCATAAAGTCCATTATAATCACCTAATATCTTACTAGAGCATACTCGCCTAATAACAAGGCCTACTTGCCTAGCGTCAGCACCAAGTTGGCCATGCCAGGATTTTTATGTTGTTTTTTCAAACTTAGGGTGTTGTAAGTGGTCGATTTTATTAATTATTACAAGTATGTGACTTTTTTTGTTAGAGATTTTACGTGGTGTTTGGCTGTAACTGGGATTAGCGTAAAATAGGATTTATCAAATCCGACAAATTCTTCCACGGAGCTTTCACGGAGATGAAGGTCATCGACGAAGGAACAAATCCTTTAAATTTAACTCCTATTCGGATTTATCAAATCCGGATTTACATCTCCATTAGATGGAACACAGGAAGAACACGTGTAGAAAGCAACGTAACACAAAAAAACTAGATTTTACGGTGGTTCGGATTTAAGTTTGATTTTTCTGATGTTTGGCTGGATTTAAGTTAAATCCATGCCTAAATCCTTTTAATAATATGCTACCAAATACCCCTTAGATAGATGTCCACACTCAATTAATTATATGTTTTTTACCCTGAAAACCAATTAAATAGTTTAGTAATGTGTGTGTATGTGTATAAACTTCTTAATTAATGCTTCTGTTTTTGGTCTTTGGTTTTGTGTTTATTAAAGTATCTTTTTTTAGCCTTATTTATATAGGCCAAATGTGGTTGGTTGTGCCCTCTCTGAATGTGTTTGATTGGTTGAATATTCATTTCTATATCAAAGATATGTATATTTGATCAAATTCTTTCTTTTTATTTTTTTGGTTACTCGTGCTCTTCTGAATTATTTTTTGATTTCTCTAACTAATTTTTAACTGTGTTCTTCAGGTTGATTTGACCTCATCAATTGTAAAGGTTTACTTAACTCTGAAGGTAATATACCATAAAAATGCTGTTGGTGGAGAGTGTGATATCCATTGTTGGCTTTTAGAGGCAGTCATTGGTGGCTTTTATGGTGTTGGTGCCATGGATCAAATTCTGTTGTTTATTCCTTTGTTACTCTGCTGTTTTGCTCCTCACTGATGACACAATAAAACCATTTTTAATATTTTTAACCTTTTTTTTGGCACACATTTTTTTGTGTTATTTTGATATGTATAACTTTCAGGTAGAAAATTCTGGGACATCTCATGCATCAGATATTTTTCTTGCATTTTCACCCACAGAAGCTGAACACTTGGCAATAATAAAAGCATCTTTACCTGAGGGCAAACGAAAAAAGAAAAAATATACTCCTCTTGATGTAAATCTCACTGAATTGTCTGATGCACCTAACGGTGCTAAACTCTTTTCTGTATCTCTGATTAACCCCCTACTGGCTGGTGAAACAGCAATTGTAGAAGTGCTTTACATACTGACTCATTCATTAGAGCCTTTTCCAGCAGAGATCAGTCAGTCAGAGTCACAATTGGTTTATTACCGAGACAGTGCAGTATTGCTGTCCCCTTATCATGTTGTGGAACAGATTATGTATATCAAAACACCTACTAACAAGATCGAGTCTTTTACGAGAGTAGACCCGACTAACCATTTGGGTACAGAGATAAAATATGGGACCTTTCGCAACCATCCTCCATATTATTCTTCCCCTATAGTTATACATTTTGAAAATAATAATCCATTTCCGGTGGTTGAGGAGCTTGTTCGGGAAGTGGAGATTTCTCATTGGGGTTCTCTACAAGTAAAGGAGCACTATCAATTAAAACATGCTGGTGCGCGACACAAAGGAGTATTCTCAAGGTTAGTCCTAAAACTGCACAATTTTACTTTATTCATTTATCTTGAAAATTAAGGAAATGTGTTTTCCTTGGTTTATACATACACAAAGGAGTATTCTCAAGGTTAGTCCTAAAACTGCACAATTTTGCTTTATTCATTTATCTTGGAAATTAAAGAAATGTGTTCTCTTTCGTTTATACATATTTCAAAGTAATTATAATTTCTACTTGTGTTTTCAACTTTTATGCTTATGCTTCCAGTAAGTTTTTTACTTTGAAGTGAATTGTTTATGGGGTAAATTTTATGTTGGCAGGCTATTTCACGCAGGTTAATGCATGCAGGCTTTATCTAAATATTTAGTAAAATTATCTTCTGCCATTTATCTTCTTTTGATGAAATGATAAAATAATCTCCATTTTCTCAGTGACCCATACGAAATGTATCATATTCATATGGGATAGGGGTACATGATATGAGTTGCAAGCCACACTGGCCACTCTCTTTTGCTCATCCCTTCTGTCTCGTTTTCACTTTCCCATCCTCTCTCTCTCTCTCTCTCTCTCTTTTCTATAACAAAACGTAGTTTTAAGGTTGATCTAGCTGTTGAGTACATCTTCTACTTGTCTCAACCCTTGATCTTTATCGTCAACTAATTTATGAGTAAAGTTTCAGAACCCATATGGGGCATCATTGTACGAAAATCTAGTGATTTTAACCGTTAGGGATTTTGGTGAATGCATTAAACTTAATTGAGAGATTTATTAAAACTCTACAATGAAGAATTCAAAGAAGAATTTTAAAAGGCGGGCCAATATATTGTGAGTGGTTAATCTCATTTGTCTAGATGCAATTTATCTTACACAGAAGAAAAATAATGGTTTATGTTTGTGTGTTTAGTATTAATTATTTTTTAGGTTAATGCACCATCATAGGTTATAGTGGGAACATTAGAATTTTTTTGAAGGTGGCATCATTTATAATCTTAGAGGTTGTTTGGCTGAATGAGTTTGTAGTGTAAAGTAAATGGAATGCAGGGATTTTCAAAATGTGTTTGGTTTGATGAAAGTGGAATGCAGTTTAAAATTTTAGGCTTTGTTTGAGATCACATTTTTTTTTTGTTTTTGTTTTTTGTTTCCGAGTCTGTTTTGTTTTGATTTTGTTTTCTGTTTTATGTTTTTAGAAAACACGTTTGATATTGTTTTGATCTATCTGTTTTTAAAAACAAAAAATATAAAAATATGTCTATTTGAGTATTTTCTATTTTTTTTAAGAAAAACTTATAACTTTAAAAAAACCAATTCTAACTATATAAATGTCATACTCATATATATAGAAATTGTAATAATGTTACAATAATAATATCAAACTCGACACATCCAAATATTAAAATAAAATATTTAGATGTTTATATCAAACACGTTTAGTCGACATTTTGTTTGGCGGACGGCTTTGATCGGACAAACAGATCTCATTTGCCACACTGCACTCGAATTGGATTGAAGTTGGCTTAATCATTGACGAATTTGTCCTGACGACCTTAGATGACAAAACGGACTGCGCGAGCGCGTTCAGAACGTCAATTTTGCCTAGAGAGAACACTTATATTGTTGGGATTCTGCGCACGAGCAACATTGATTTTTCCTTTTTTTTCCCTTCCTAGAAAAAAAAGGGATTATATAAACTTTTTTCTCCTTACCAAAAAAAAAAAAGCAGGATTTCTACCCTATGAGTCGATTTGATCTGAATTTACTTGTTGACTCCCTCCGTGGGTTGGTGGGTCTAAGTAGACATATCACTAACTAGCCCATAAATTATACTCACCAATCAGCCAATCTAATTTGACCTATCAAGTTCTTTGGGTGTGAATATATAAGCTGTATTATGAGCTCATGTTAATCTCGATTCAATTTAAAATTTGACACAATGAATTTTAAAAAGAAGCAACATGAAAAACATAATGAGTCATCCTAAAAAAATAAATAACAAAAAAGAAAAAAAAAGAAAAAAAGAACCGATAGAAATCTCCAAACTCCATAAAAAAATTCTCATAGAATCCACTACATGTGAAATATTTCTATTCCATTAAATTTGCATTTAGATCTGTATAAATAAAAATTCTGCAAATATAATAAAGATCTCAAGATAAAGCTGATAAGATATAATTATTCCTAATGTTAAGAAAATATTTCTTTCCAGTTGCTTATTGGATCTAAGACAGACCTGTGTCAAGATCATGATTATTGGTGGAAGGAGGAGGTTTGTGTTTCGACTCCACTGGTCGCTCCAAAGTGCCATCGACACTCTGCATCTCGTTCGCTGGCGGTTTCCTCCTCCGCTCCTGCTTGCCACTGTCTTCGACGTTGTCCTTGCTGTACGTTCCTCTCTTTCGTAAACCTCATGTGTAATGGGTTTCATATCGGAGATATTAGGCGGGTGACACGATTCGCTGTGCTTCTGTTCTTAAATTTTTTTTTTTCACTTTTTGCTGCTTTGGCTCCTCGGAGAAAACGACCAAATTAGGATGAATTTTTTGAGAAGACGACCAAATTAGGGTTGTGTTTCGACTCCACTGGTTGCTCCACTTAAAAGTCAGTTACTGCGATAAAATATAGGGAGTGAAAGAAAGTAGTCTAAAAGTTGCTGGTTGCAGACAGGTGGGGGGAAGATATTGAGTAGTTTTTCTAAGAGACATCGTTTTTTTTTTCCAGTTGCAGGATTATGACATGCTGTAACTTATGTCCATTACTGTTGTAGTTTCAAGGTCAAATTGCAATTATAATGTTCTTGAAGTAGCAGCGAAGAAAATTACTTCAATTTGTTAGAAATACATTATTTCAACTAAAGTTGACGATTTCTATTAAATTTATTCATTTAATTTAGCTATTTTTTCAAGCCAAGTTATTTTATACAAACTGAAAAATCTAATCTGAAGATAAGCATGTTATGTAAAGCATGCTTAGAAATATAGCAGAACAACATTCTATCAATAGTCTTCAACACCATTTTACTTCTAAAGAAATGTAGCAGATTAGTATATTTTATTCTTTCAATCAAGTTAATTATGATTTTCTATCATTTTTCTCCATCGCTCGGTCTTTCTTTTGATTTTTTCTTTCTAACTTGCCCATTGATTTTTGAGAAAGAGTTGGTGGTAGCTGCAACTCAACTACAATGTTTAATCACGCATAAAAAATATCTCGTGCATAAATTTATTAAATACAGCTATTTTTAAGCTAATTGTGAAGAAAAGATCCTGAATGCTGGAAACTTATTACTCAGTTCTTTTGGCCGCTTATTATATTTGCCAAACTTCATTCATAGGCTTGAATACCAGGCAAGGCCATCCATTAATGGCGCCTCATCATTCAAACAACTTCTTGCAAAACTGCCTCCTCGAGTTCACTCAGTATATTATCGAGATGCAATCGGGAATATTTCATCATCACATTTGCGCACTGATTATCAGAAGGTAATTTAGTATCTTTTATTACTAGATATTGGAGAGAAAAAGGTTTACCGTGCAAAACATCATGAATGCTTGTCTCTCAGCAGTTTTTTCAAAGTTTTCTGAATGAATTACATTTTTTCTTAAGAAATAAATCAATGTTACAAATATGTATGCATACATATATTTATGTGTGTGTCTGTGTGTGTGTGTGTTGTGAACAGTGCAGATTGATTGCATTAGTTAACCATGCATTTAACCTTGCAACTCATCCGAACTTGAAGCTAACTATGCGATATTTTTTTATAAATCCAAAGCAGCAGCGATCTAAAAATGTAGTAAATGAATTTAAATACACAAATTCGAGCTTGCATTTAGTAGGATGCTTTTACTTCAGTGGCATAAATCTTAGATTTGATTTATGCAGCAATAGGGACTCAAACCCTGTGGTAATCTATGATGCATTGACACACATGGACATGCATATAGGGCACATGATATTTCAATAACATAGGTCACAAATCTTGTTGGGCACTACATTTAAGTTTATTACTCTAAATATGAGAAATCATGATTTTCATAATCGAGTGTCTAAAAGGTGTTGAAGCAGTGTAAAAAGTCTTTAAAAGATAAAAAAGGTTCCTAAAGTGGTTGAGCATCGAACTGCATAAGAGTGAATTAAGTTTTTTGTAATTAATCAAGGGGGATTTTATCTTATGACATTAATTAGTCTTATGAATTTAGAGGTGAATATGGATAGATAGAGAGAGAGAGAGAGAGAGAGAGAGAGAGAGAGAGAGAGAGAGTGATTACCACTAGAATGCCTGTACCTTTCATGATAGAAGCTTAGAAAGGGGGATAGAGGAGAGAGGGAGGCTTATTGTGAGGTTTATGGAGAGCCAAAACTCCCCCTTTTTTGTTATGAAAATGGTGGTTGGAATGTTTAACGAGATGATATCGTGACATTATCACGTTTCCTGGTGTTGAGGTGGGGCGAGATATTAGTTACCACTCTAATGTCCTCTATGCCAAGATACAAATTTTGGGAGGGGAGAAAGCAGTGTGTGGGGGGTTGGGGGTGAAGGGGTGATAAGCCTTTAAACCAAAACTTTTGCTTTTGTTGGTTTTTTTTATAAAAAAATGTGGTTGTGAGAGTAAGGGGATGACTTAACGACATTAATTACCACCACAATATTCTTGTTTTGTGGTGTTGTGGTGGGAATCTCCATGTTGTTAGATAGTTTTATTGAGAATGATAAACATCACATCTCAAGTATCAGTTCTGTTTGATTGTAGTAGTATAATTGTCAACTGTGTCATGCAGTGAGAATTGTATAGTTATATAAACATTTTGAAGCTATTAAAAATACTTCTTTCTGTTACCGATTTTATTTTTTGCATTTGAACCTAATTTTGCTTATTGTTGTCACATTTACAGTCTGAATTGGAAATAGAGCCTCGTTATCCATTATTTGGAGGTTGGAAGGCCAGTTTTGTGATTGGTTACTCGGTACCTCTGGAAGATTTCTTGTTTGAATCGCCTGATGGACAACATTATTTGAACTTCAGCTTTGGATGTCCTCTCTATGAAACTCTTGTTGATTCTATAACTATTAAAGTAAGTTTCCGCTTGTACTGTTTGATTTTTTTTTTTTAATTTCATTTGGGCTAATCTCATGCCATTCACAATTTTTCACTCTCACTTCGTTAACCTGCCTTTGCACATTACTTCTTTAATGTTCCTTGCCATCTTCTGCTTATGTCTTTTCTGAATGGTCCCTGTTGTACATTAGAAAAACATCTTTTAATACTTGAAAACTGGAGCCAATTTTGCATATTTACCGAATTGATACTTGAAAACTCTGTTAGACAACATAATTCTCTAATTTTTTTATCACTCCTAGAATACCCTTATCACAATCCTAAAATAGAGGAGTTTATAGATGGTGCTTTGTGCTTTATCTTTCTTTTTTCTCCTTTTTTTGTTGGAGAATTGAAATTAAATAGGTTTATTATTAATATTATTTTAATTATTTAGGTCCCGACTTAAAGAAAATACAAATCAAAATTTTTATAAATTGATAATGTCATTCCTCTCATGTTTATACTATGAAAAAGAAGTATCTTGATAACAGCAATATATTCTCCTTCATTTGGAGATATTCTCTACATCAATGTTTGTGCCCCAAGTTTCTTGTTCCATTTTTTTTTATTATGTGGAAGTCATCATCCTTGGCATTATCATCATTATTATCCTTATCCTAATTATTTGGGGACAGCTTCGTCAATCCTCATTTTTTTATTCATTTTATTGAGTGCTGCCTGAGATGTTGAACCTATTCTCCATAGAACATTTTGAATAATTCTATTCATGCACAATTAGGCCTCCTGCACACTTCTCCATTCCAATCCTCTAACTTCAATTTTATCTACACGTCAAATGGGTGCTTCTTCTACCCAATTTTAATTTGTTGTTTCTGTGCTATCAAAATGACGCTAACCATGTGGGTGGCTCCGTACATTTTACTTATTCCTCAAACGTAAAATTAAGAGAGTGAGTTGGTTTTCTTATTTTATGTCATTGAAACATACAATTTTTCAAGTAGGTCTTGCATCCATGTTTTGCTTTCTGAGAATTTGGGATTTGCTTGCTTCTAAAGCATTTTACTCTTATATTTATCTTAAAACATCTAATGTGTTAATGAATTTTTAAACTCAAATTAAAAAAAAAATGAGACATTAAGCATTGACAAGGTTTATTATGTTGGGAGGATGTATTTGATCACATGCTCTGAGCTAACTTATAGTATGGTGGGATTAAGTATGATCAATTCTTTAGCACGGAAATGCAAGCAGTAGAGTTTAACCCGTTCTAACTTTCTTACAAAAAGTTTGCACTTTTTTTTTTCTTCAGGTTGTACTGCCGGAGGGATCCAAAAACCCATCTGCTGTACTTCCCTTTGGAGCAGATCGATATTTAGAGGTAATTTTTATCGGTTTAATGATTATCATATGAATTATAAGCAAAATCCACTTATATAATTCACACAGTGCAACGTATGGTATGTTTCCCTAGTATATGTAAACACCTAATCTAGCTTTTAACTGTAAAGATTCAGCATGACTTGTGATTGCTTAGTATTTTGGTAATCCTGTGGTCTACTCAGATGGAGTAAAACTCTCCATACCCCAAAGAAAATTAATAAAATTTTCCCAAATGAGCCATCTGTGAACAAAAAAATTCAAAGCTTTCTTCCACAAGCCCTGCTGGATGAAAGCAAAGAATAATGGTGAATGACCCTATTTTATTCTGAGATGTATGTAGAATCTTGAAGAAGAGTTTTTTAGAAATAGCATAAACTGTGTTTATTCTTCTTTGGCGATCATTTTTTGTACATTTAAGCAGTTTCCAAGCTGTGATAACTATCCTAATTGCTATGAGAATAGTTATCTCGAAACGTAACTCAACTTTGTAACCTTTTTTTTTTTTCAAGTGTACTGCAAGTGTACTGTTTAAAATTTGGTTGGTCTGAAAAAAAAAAAAAATCCTTTAGTAATTCCATATAAAAAAAAGAAGGCAGTTGAAAGTTGCTAGGAAAAGCTCTCAAATATCTAAACCCACTGAAATATTGATTTCACATTTCCCTTCAAAATTTGGTCTGAATATCGCGGAAATAACTAGCGCAACCCTTCAAACATTAGTTTTTGGTCTCACGCTTGATGTAGATTTATGTCAATATTTGAATGCAGACCTTCGAAAACATCTTATTGCTAGGATATCTTAACTTTTAGGGAAATTTACAAACATACCACAATTCTTATGTATTTACACATCTAACACCAAAGTTTGAGATTTGCGTTTATACGTCTTGGTGACATGAATCTATGCATGAGAAGGTGTATTACCCATTTAAAAAGAGTGTGATAGTGATATTTTTGATATGGTGTTCAAGATTTAAGTGGTGTGCAGGTAAATATGTATGTGTAGGTGTTAGATATGTAAATACATAAGAATTGAGTGGTATGTATGCCCTCTAAATGCTGTTTTACCACTTTAGCCATTGCTTTATGTGTATATTTAAATGATGTTTTAGTACATCTTATTGAATGCATTAATATCTCATCAGGATAAAGTTTTTTTTAGAACTGAATGAAAATATGACACTAAATAGGACACAATGGAGAAAAATGATTCATGCAGCCAACCCCATGTAGTGGGATTAAGGCTTTGTTATTGCTGTTGTTGATAAAGTATTTATTTATTTATTTATTTTTATTTTTGTGATAGCAACATTTTGATTGGAAACAACTCTTTAATTTTCTTATGGAATTATGTTATGCCTGAAACTGAACCAGTCCATCCAAGACCGGTCAAAGGCCATCAATACGGCCCACAACAAAAGGAAGTGGGTTGATTCCTTTAACGCGAAGCAGCCGAGCGCTGATTCCTTTCACGCAAAGCAGTCGAGCGGCAATTTACCGCAGAAGAGGAAAGTTGGGTGCAAGTGGGGTCCACGAGGGGCTTAATTGCATACACAAGGAGGAGAAATTAAAGGATTTTGGACGAAAAGTTGGAAAGGAAAGTTTTTGAAATGCTGTGAGAGAATTCTACTAAGGGGAGTAACCTAGGGTTTGTTTTATTCATGCATATTTTGTTGTGGCTGCTGTTTTCTTTTTCTTGTTGTGTTTCTATTGACGTCTAGGGTGTGGGAGAGAAGATCTACCTCTCGAATAGTAGATCAATCTTGTATCTTGCTCGTTTTTCTTTGATTTTTGTAAGAGCAACCCCTATTTGTGTTTCTTCACCTTTCTATTATCAATTCTTTGTGGTTTGTTCGCTGATTTTGATGTCGAGGCGTACCAAATTGGTATCAGAGCCTAGATCTTGGCGAGATGGCGACAAAGAAAGTGGATGTGCTAGAATGAGAGGTAGGGTAAATCAAATCGGGGATGCAAGAAAGGTTCGCCACCATGTAGGATAAATTTTCTTCCATTAAAATTCGAATGAATGATGGATTCAAGAGCATAGGAGAAATGCGGTAGATGATGAAAAAACTCATGGAGATGCAATCCAAGGCCGTGTCGACCGCTCCAGTTGCAAAACCCTAACCAAGGGGTGATTAGGGAATCCTTGCCCAGGTTAAAAGCGAAGGAGATTAAGCGAGAAGACAACGAAGAAAACATCATCTACCTATAAGAGCATCCCTCTAGGACTCTGAGAGGAGGGGGAGTGGAGACTTCCGATGGAGGGGGATGGGCCGAAAATTGGAGAGATGGTGTAAGGGGCATGATGGAGTCATCCACCCCTTAATACCACGAGGATTGAGGGAAATGATGGAGCTCACTCAGATAATGGAGTATAAGAAATAGGTGAAGAAGACCGACAAAGGCGGTAACACTGGAGGATTCTACAAGGGCACTTTGATAGCCACGACACCGAGGGCTCAAACAGTGTCATTGTAGAAAGAGACGCTGAAGGAGAAGAATACAGGACCCCGTCCCGTGGGTAGTTTCAAGCATCTCACAGATGCAGAAGTGCAGGATAAAATAACAAAATTATTGTATCATCGTTGTGAAGAGAAATACGCCTCAGACACCATTGCAAGGAGTGTGCGTTTAGGCTTTTTTAGTTTAGGAGGAAGATACAAAAAGTGTGGACTCAGAAGAGGAAGCAGTGGAGGAGCATCTGCATTTGAATGTGATGGAGGTGTCCCTTAATTCGGTGGTGGGATTTACCCCGAATCACACTATGAATGTGAGAGCATGGATTGAGGAACAAATGATTGTGATATTGGTGGATAGTGAAGCTACACATAAGTTTATCTCAAATCAAGTTGTGGAGAAGGTTAAAGCTGGTGACTACAGGGAGCTTTGGTGTCATGATGGGGACAGAGAAGGTGGAGAAAAGTCGGGGAATTTAAAAGTTGGTTCTGACACTACATGACCTGCAGGTGGTGGAAAACTTCTTTTAGATTTGGGCAGCACAGATGTGATTCTTGGGATGAAGTAGATGCGAACATTGGGAGAGATGAATGTGGATTGGAAGTCCTTGATAGTGGATTTCCAAGTGGAGGGTAGGAAGGTGGTCTTGAGAGGAGATGCTAGTTAATGCAAAACCATGGTGTCGCTCAAAATCGTGCTCAAGCCGATTCGGGGAGCATGACTGGGTTATTTGGTAGAGCAGTAGAGCATTGAGGAGATTCGAGATTCAGAGTTGACAGAGTTTCCGGAAGGCGTCCAACAACTCCTACAACAGTTTAAGGATGTCTTTCAACTGCCAAGCGGATCGCCTCCTCCAAGGGAGCACAAGCATGCTATTAGATTGAAGGAGGGTGTTTCTTCCATCAACGTCAGATAATACAGGTTCCCCTAGATTCAGAAGAATAGATAAGAGAAGTTGATCCGAGAGATGCTCGAGGTTGGGATTATCAGGACTAGTGTGAAAACTTTTTTCCAGTTTCGTCTTATTGGTGAAGAAAAAAATGGTAGTTGGAGATTTTTCATGCACTGTCGGGCTTTGAACAAGGGAACGACGCTGGATAAGTTTTCTATTCTTGTTATTGATGAGTTACTGGATGAGCATTATGTGGCAGTTATGTTTTCAAAAATTGATCTTTAGTCATGGTACAACCAGATTAGGATAAATCCGACAGATGTGCACAAGACAACATTCATGACATATGAAGGTTATTATGAGTTCTTAGTGATGTCGTTTGACCTCACAAACGCCTTAACAATATTTTAATCTCTTGTGATTAGGGTTTTCCAACCTTATCTTCGAAAATTTGTCATGGGTTTCTTTGATGATATTCTGATCTACAGTCGTACAGAGACAGAGCATGTGGGACACCTAATAACAGTCCTATAGATATTGAGGGAGCACCAATTGTATGCTAACTTGAAGAAATGTTCATTTGCACATTTAGAGGTGGAGTACCTATGACATGTGGTGACTAGAATTGGGGTAGCAATGGATCGGTCCAAGATCGAGACTATGGTTGATTGATCCTTACCAAGAAATTTGATGGAGTTGAGAGGATTCTTGGGAGTATAAGCTACTACCGGAGATTCGTGGGAGGATATGACATGATAGCCTGGTCGTTGACGAAACAGTTGAAGAAAGACATTTCAAATGGGGGAAGCAACAACACAAGCAATTGAACATCTGAAGTGGGTCATGACTAGTGTACCAATATTAGTACTTTCAGATTTCAGTAAACCATTTGTGGTGGAGATGGATGCTTCAGCGTACTGATTGGGAGTTGTGCTCATGCAGAATCAGCGGCTGACTGCCTATTTCAGCTAGGTTCTTACGGCCAGAGCGAAGCTAAAACCAGTATATGAACGAAAATTAATGACAATTGTCTTGGCCATTCAGAAGTGGTTGTTCTACTTGTTGGGACAATATTTTTTGGTTAGGATAGATCAGAGGAGCTTAAAGTATCTTCTGGAGTAGTGAATGGTGACGCAGGAGCATCAGAGATGACTATCCAAGCTACTAGGATATGATTTCAAGATTCAGTACCGGTGAGAATTGAAGAACAAGACAGCTAATGCACTGTCGAGAAGGGGGGAAGCCCAAATTTATGGTCTTATCGGCACCCTTGGTCCTAGATTGGGAAGCCTTGAGGCAGGAAAATGAATCAGATGAGGAACTAAGGAAGATAAGAGCCGAGTTGCTACAGGATCCGAACAATCATCTAGCATATGCATTGAGAGGACAACTGCTCCACCAGGGGCGATTTGTGCTACCCAAGTCGTCGACATATATTCTCAATTATTACAAGAGTTTCATGGTAGTGCGATCAGGGAATACTCAGGGGTGCAAAAAACCTACAATCATCTGACAACAGATGTATTGGGTGGAGATATGCAGAGGCGTGGAGGACATGGTGGCAAAATGTGATCACGGTACCAAGAGGGTTTCTACAACTATAATATATTGATTATTTCATATTATGATATTATAAACATTTATAATGAAATGACTCAACTATAATGCATCAATTATTTCATATTATGAGGTTATAAACATTCGCAATGAAATGACCCATAAAATTTAATAATTGAATAATCAATTGCATTAATAAAGCATAATTAACAATCCGCAAAACTGCTTTAGAAGAGATCAAAATGATACTATAATTTAAGAGCTCGAGGAAAAGGGCAACGGTCTCCTCCGCTGCCGCTTGACACGCCATCTTACTAGAGTCATCAGCTTGCATGGAGAGCGGCGACGGATGTGAGAATTGCTACTTGGGACCGCAACTCATTGGTAAAAGAGGTGATGGGAAAGGAGAGAGAATCTGAATACCGGTGAAGGAGCCTACATGTTTCCTCTGTTTCTTGTCCTTCCCAAGTGAAGTGGGGACATATGACTTCTGAAGACGGTAGAAGTCGAATTGGAGGAGAACAATGGGTTGTTCGCAGGTGAGTTCGATCCTTGCCATCTCAAATAGCTATTGAGGTTATAGTGTAATAAAATTAGGGCTAATGATGTCTTCTATAATACATAAGTTATAGGTAATAATGTTAAAAAACACATTTTTTATTCATATGGTAATATTTGCTTTAGCAATCATCACTTTATATTGTTGTTTATTCAAAAATTATTTTTAAATGAGCTTTTTTGGAAGAAAAAGCTCCCTAGACAAGGCCTTTGTACACCGCGATCTCATATGTTTTCCCAGCTAGCTCGGTTTCGAGCAAAAGTGGGGCTAAAGGAGGCAACCACGACACCCATAACACGTGAATGATCAGGCTGATTTTGACGACTATTTCTGGCTCTAATACCATGTAAGATTTAGGAGGGGAAAAATAATTATTTCTCTTTAATTTCATAAAAAAATAATTGCAAGATAAATAGAGGGGTATGACTCCCGCATTAGGAAAGTAAAAATTGCAGCCATAACTCATAATAAAAGAAGAAAACTGGAACTTATGTCATGCCAATAATTCTACACCTTAAAAATAGAAAATACTAATAATAAAAGATATTAAAAATAAAATCTTCTTAAAAAATCCAACAGTTACAATTTCTGATTCCCAAAGTGTTCATTGTTCTAAATCAAAACTAATGTGATATGTTTAATTATTTTGGTGAGGCGTTGCTGCTAATCTACAGGGACTGATATTAAATTTAAAATTAGAGAACGATATCTACCATTTAGTGAATATAGTGACAAAATAGTATACTTTTATGTTTTTTATATAAATTCCAAATATGATGATTATGATGTTTTGGAATATAGAATAAGGCTAAAGCTCTTTTAACTGAATACTATTTTCCTCTAGACTCTTATTTTATGTTTCCATTACTAGTTTTATTAAATGTCTAAGTTGAGAAATTAGAGATGATTTAACTGTAATTGTTCAAGAACAACACATGACGCTATGTCCGTAGTTTTATATATCAGGGAATGTTATAACTATTCTTTTATTAAGACCGCTGCATCATTGGTTAATATTTCTAAAGAAAAATCTTAATGCACGTTCTCTGCTGTAACCTAGATATTTTATCCCACACATAGTTTGGTTCAATTTCAACCTTTTAATTCTCTTTACTTTGGAAGATAACAAGTTTTTTACCCTTTTAAGTTATTTAATCATAGAACACTTATTTCTTTTGATTACTTTTCTCATGCTTGTGATGTGATCAGACATCAAAATCGGCACGTTTTTTCATTAAAAATAGGGCAAATACAAATTTTATTTCTCGAACATCAAATCAAAGTAATATAACACTAATAACTCACACGCACAAAAGATAAGCACCTACAATTTGAGAGGTAGGAAATCTCTCCCAAACCCTAAACCTGAGATAGAAGACTCAATTTCATGCATAAACCTAACCCTAATATATTAGGCCTATTTATAACCAACAATAATAATAATAAAAGACTAAATTTCCCTTAGGTGTACAAAAGATCAAAATTGCCTTTAGGCCAAGCACCGGCGGAATAGCTTGCAATAAACTACTTCTATGGTTTGGCCAAACTTTATCATGGAATCATTTTATAATCTCTGCATGAATACTTTTCATCCCCTATTTTTAAATGGTGGAAAATTGTGAATTGTACTTTAGCAGTCTCACTTTGGGAAGTAACCAAATGCTATTTTCCTTCTATAAAGTTGAGCTTCTACTTTCATATGTTATTTTCAAATTAATTTATATTCCTTCCATCATATTTTTATCTTCTATTTACCATGCCATACCCACCATTAATCATTTCATTACTCATCGTATTAAAACCTATGCATCAATTCAACTCACCATTTATAAATACTTTATTCTTCTCTTTTTTATCTTCTATGATCCATTCTAGTTAAATTTTTGCCATCTTTATTAGTAATTTACTTAGCAAAAGCCACTTTATTGTTAATCCTATGCTACTCAATAATTACATCTTTCATCTCTATTTGGTATTATTCTTTTATTTATGACCATCTATTATATAGCTTTATTCCTCAAAATTTAGTATATTATTTTTTATTTATTTATTTTATGGACCCATATTTGGTCCTTTAATGCTTCAAGTAACTTGCTATGCTTCTTGCAGAAAACTTACTCGTACCTTGATGTTGTTGGGAGGACTACAGTGGTCATCAAGAAGAAGAATGTAGTTCCAGAGCACAACGTTCCTTTCCAGGTAATATTCTCATTAGTTGTAGTCATGCCAGTGTTTTTCATTCTTATACTGAAAGTTTTGCATCTAACTTGGGTGCACTATTTCATGATCATTAAATACAGTTTTCATAGATAAAAAATTGTTAGGAACATTTACGTACATACCACTCAATTTCTATGAATTTACATATCTAACATCTAAACTTCAATTTTTACTTATGTTGTACCTTACCTATGCATGAAAAGGCACAACAGTGGTATTTTTTTATGTGGTAAGAAAGATTTAGGGGGTATAAATGTAAAAACTAAAATTTAGGTGTTGGATATGTAAGTACATAAGAATTAGGTGGTATGTATGTAAATGTCCCAAATTGTTAATCTTACATCTTTTGATACAACATTTCAGATCGAGTAATGCTGCTGCACCCATCGATATTTTTGTCTTGGTGATATAATTGACCCAATTTTCCATTTATGTAATTTGGGCATTATGGTTAGAAAAATGAAAAAAAGAAACAAAAATAAGAGAAAGGGCCATGAAAATAAATTCTAAATTAGGGCATTTATATACATAGCACGCAGTTCTTGTGTATGTGCATATAGGACGCCTAAACTTTCATATTTACACATAGCACTCAAATCTTAAATATCCCGTCAAAAATAGCACTATTATCACTTTTTAAAAGTGAAATACACATTTTCATGCATATGTTTTAAGCATCGAAGTACTATGTAGGTAAATATAAAAGCTTAGGTGCGAGATAGATAAATATATAAGAATTTTGTGCTCAATATTTAAATTTCTCATCTAACTTTGGTTAGGGTAGATTTTATTGTCATTGGATTTATATTTTTGGATTTGATCTGAATGTGTACAATATAAGTTTTGATTTATTAATTATCTATTATACTTATTTCTGAACAAATCAAATGTCAATAAAATCTTTTCTGATCAAAATTGTGTTGGAATATATTGACTCAACTTTCTAAATTAAATTTTCAACATCTCTTAGGGTCCGTTTGGGGCGGCTTATTTGGTGAGGTGGCGTTTTGAAAACACATCTGATCTGTTTGGGTAAACTGCGTTTTGACAGCTTATGTATTTTCAAAACGCTGAAAACAGTGTTTTCACACCGCACTTATTTAGGTGTGATGACAGTTTTCTGACAGCGGTTTGACTTTTCCAAAAAAATAAAAATTTGTAGTAGTCACCGCACCTAGCTTATCAGTAGATTATTTTTAATCAGCTTAACAACAGATTATTTAATAAGCTGCAGCTGCCCAAACAGACCCTTAATCTTCTGCACTTCTTTTCATCATTTATGCTATATTTGGTTTGAAGATGTTGGAGAAAATATAAATATATTTTAATTCAAAAATTTTAAGGGGTTTTGGTTCCATTTAGATTATTAGGTAATGGGATTTATCTAGGGAATATGGACAGCCATTTTTCATTTTACTTTTCTCCACCAAACCTTATTAAAAAAATAAAATAAAAAAACTTAGGGTTAATTACATACACCTGTCAAAATATTGCTATTTACAAAACTAACACCCTGGTGATTTTTTTGGATTGTCAAACTGATACATTTAAGTGTGTCATGAAAAATTCATTGATAATTTGATAAAATATGGGTTGGGGTTTTATCTTGAATTTGAGAAATGGATGAAAGAGAGTGCTAGATTTGTAAATAGCAATGTTTTGATTTTGAGTGCTCTGTATGTAATTGCCCCAAACAAAGATAAATAATTATCAGTTTTTGCTAAAAACTAAAAAGACCCGCATGTTCTCATCAATCAACAAGTATAAAAAAGGCTTTTTTCTCACTCTCTCTTCTACCATATAAGTGAGTGAAAACTAATTGGAATATTTACATACATACCACTCAATTCTTTTGTATTTACATATTTAACACCTAAACTTCAATTTTTACATAAATACATACATGCCACCTTACCAAAACACGAAAAGGTGTATTTTACTTTTTTTAAACTTAAAATGATGGTTTTTTTTTGATGTGATGTGAAAGATTTAGGTGATAGATATGTAAATACATAGGAATTGGGTGACATGTATGCAAATGCCCTCAAAACTAATTTCAATACAATTCTTTTGCTATTTCAGCTTTTATTTCCTCTGCTGCAATTCCTTCATATTCTTCAAATAATCTTGTGCGTGGCTTTGCTGTCTTTCAGGTCTATTACAATTTCAACCCAATATTTATGCTTGCGGAGCCATTGATGCTGGTAACTGCAATTTTCCTTTTCTTCAGTGCCTGTATTGCATATTTGCGCATGGATCTGTCCTTTGCAAAGCCATGAAGAATTGCAAGAATTTGCCTCTAGGGAATCAGGAATGTACGGATTTATGCAAGAACATGTCATTATGGCACAAATTTTGGATTAGATTGCTTATTGTTTTTAAATTTTGGACTTCTAACGTTTTTGTTCTTTCTTGTTTGTTTTTATGACAGGCATTTACATACATACGAACTAATTCTTTGGTATTTACATACCTAACACCAAAATTTAGACGTTAGATATGTAAATATATAGGAATTGAGTAGTATTTATGTAAATCTTCTTATTTTAGAATGAATTAAGATCTTATAATGAAGGATTCCAATCCAAGTAATGATTGGATTTGAAGACAAAAAAATATGGGTTTAGTTTAAGCTTTTGTAGGATTTGAATCAATTATCAATGAATGCTTCAAAGAGAAGAATTTTTTGATTTTGCGAGAGTTGTTGTTTTTGCCAACTTGAAATGCTTCAAATCTAACTTGTATATAAATGCTTCAAATCTAACTTGTATATCTATATATATATATATCTATCTATATAAATGCTTCAAATCTAACTTGTATATAAATGCTTCAAATCTAACTTGTATATCTCATGGGCTCATATAAATCGAAGAATACTTGAGAAGGGAGATGAAAAGGAATGTTTATGTGCTCTCCAAGGCTTAGTTATTGGTTCCTTACGAGAGAGATGGAAGGGGAAGGTATTGTTTCAGAGGTTTGTTCGTGTTCCCTTTGAATGTATAGCTCATTTATTTGTATGACTCATATGTGGCTTTCTATCCTTGAGGAACTATATGGAGAGGAGAAATAGAATTTGTTTAGTATGAAGCTTGTACATTATGCTCAAATTGAATAATGTTGATGTGGGGGTCAGGCTGCCGTAAATGGACATATGTCTATTATTTAATGATAATCTTCACTTCGATCGTTAGCTAATATCGAGGGAGACCTTTTGAAGGATCAATAGATCATCTTGACAAATCACTTCAAAAGCTATTACGTGATAGCTAGCAAATCGGCATGTCATTTCAGCATGTGGTGATTGTGTCTTTGGAGGAGATGGTCTTTCTAGGCTCATTAGGTCTGTTGACATATTCTTGGCCCATGAAAGCCATTTTTTGGTGTGCATATATATATATATATATATATATATATATATGCACACAAAAAAACGGCTTATTGGTGCGGCCTCTGACATAAGTCTCTCGGGTCAGGGGTACGAATACCGTGGCGCGGACTCTTCAAATCAGAATTAAGCACGAATCGATATTTGGTGTCCACTGGAGCAAATATTGATTTCCTTATATATATATAAAGAATGAATGAGTGATCAACATCTTCATGAAATGCATGTTTAATTCAAAATAGCATTCTTTCTTTGTCAATTTGCTATCCATCTTGGTTAATCAAATAAAAAATCTGTTGCCGATAGATTTGATGATGATCATGATAATGATTCTATTGCTAGCTGTGTACAACAAAGTAGTTTTTTTTTTTTAAATATTATTATTAGATTTATTTTTAATTTTAAAATGATATAGCATACAAAAATGATGTTTTAAAATAAGATGTTTCCATTAGTTTTACATATAATTTAAAGTAAAATAAATTTAAGTGTGGGTTTGTCTGTGAATTATATAGCTTTGCACTTGATGGAAATAGCACAACTATCCGGTGGAAAGGAAATAATTAAATCGAATTTGTATAGCTAGTAGAGCATCCCTTTACGAGGTGGCATGTGGATGCTATAGTTTCCTTTTGTTTCGGGCAACAGCTAATTCATGGCTGGGACTCTTCAGCCGCCAGCTTAATCAATCTTCTTTACCTACTCTCTCTCTCTCTCTCTCTCTCTCTCTCTCTCTCTCTCTCTCTCTCTCTCTACACACATACATACATACATATATATGTGTGTATACATATGAATATACATATGTATGTATAGATACATGCACATACATAGACACCCACACACAAATAACACAAATAACAACCCTACTCTCATCGTATCCATCACAATCAAATAACATAAATCATGTGTTTGTTGTTAATCTCTTATTATTATTGATGTGTGCTAGAAAATTCACAGCGGTAGAGTAATGAATTATCGTCTTAGCATCGCGCGATGATTCAACACACACTCGGATAAAAGTGAAACAATCTGTGATGTCATCAGAAGTTTTTACGTGGATAACCAGTAAAGAGAAAAAATCACGGGGTCTGGTCCAGTTATAAAAAATTATTATAGGATGATGATTACTAGGGCTGTCAAAAAAGCTCGTTGTTCGCGAACAATTTTTGTTCGGTTCGTCAATGAGCTTGTGTTTGATTTGTTCGATAAGTAGACGAGAAGAACATGAACAAATTTTTTTCATCCGGTTAGTTAAATGAACCAAACACAAACATTGATGCGTTCGTTCGTGTTTGAATCATTATTGTTCGAAATATTAAATAATTTAAAATAGTTATTTATAAAGAAATTATGATATTAAAAAAAATTAAATTTTATAAATTATAATATATAATAAAATAATAATTATTATATATTAATATACTATATTAGTAATATACTGATATAAATATTGTATATTTATATAAGATAAGTTATATAAATAATATAATATATTATTTATATATATTAATATTAGAGATGTCAAACTGGCTCGTCGTTCGCGAGCAGCACAAACAGCTCGTTTTATATTCGTGTTCGACTTATTCCTTAAGAAACGAACACGAACAGTGACTTCACGATAAATTTTAAACATGAGCTTACTTCAAACAAATTAAATTTCAAACGAACCGAACACGAACACAAGCTCTGTTCGTTCGTGTTCGGTTCGTTTACACCCCTAATAATTACAAATGCCCATTGCCCCACTGTCGGGAAAGAGGATTTTCCAAGTTACAACGTCAACTGGTAACGTCTGGTCAGCGGTGGTCGACAGTGTCAATGACAGTCGATGATGGTCGACGAAGGTCAGTGATGATCGGTGGTGGTCGACGACGGTTGGTGGTGGTTGAGGAAGGTCGACGGTGGTCGCCAACGGTCAGTGGTAGTCGACGACAATTGACGATGCCAAGGGTGATGTTGGACTTGAGCTCCTTCTCAAAGCCTCAAATTCTCTCTCAAGACTTCTCTCTCATTTGAGTGGTTGGGCTCTATTTATAGTTTTTTGGGTGTAAATTAATACAAAAATATAAAGTATTTTGATCGGACGGTCCGGAGAACTTCCCTCGTTCGGATGTCATTTGATGGACAATTTGGTGCCTTAACAATGTTGGAATTGAGTAATCTTGGACTTGCTGGATTCATCTCACTGAATTCGACATCCGTTTGATCTTTCAAATGTGTCGGAAATCTTTCAAGTATGATTTAATCACTTGATCTTGGCTTGATTTGACTCAGACTGGACTAACTTTGATATCATCAGATCCGTATCATCGAGCCGGTCAGTTTGACTATAGTTTGCTGAAATCAAATCAGAGCTCTGAATGATTTTTATCAAGATTTGAATATTTCTTACTAAAAAATATCATCTCGAGATTCATGTCGGATGATGAAAATTTGTTAGTGGTGTATCAACTATTTAGTTTTACATGTTATTTCTTAGTTTCATTTAAAATTAGAACTCTAAGTGGTGAGATTCATCTCGATTCATTCATTCCTATGAGAGTATGTTGTATGGTTTGGATGAATCGGTTCGCAATGATCTTAATATTGTTCGATCTTTTTGTGTATGTGATTCAGGGAAAAATCAAAACGATTCAAAAATTAAAAATTCAAATGCTAAATTTTATAGAATAGAAATATTAAATTATTATTTTAAAATCGATACGATTCAACCAAATGAGCTTGGTTCGATTGGGTTTTTGATTTTTGACTAACTAATGAGCACGATTAGGTGAAAGAGGCTTTTCATGCATAGGAAAAAAATTTTCTTCTTTGAGACGTATTCGCATTGATTTTATCAACTAAATATCTCCTGTTGATTGAGGGTCAAGCTGAACAGGTATGGGCGGGTGGGCAAGGATTTAAATATTTAATTAATATAATAATTGTAATAATTACAACATCGATGATCATATATATATATATATATATTTGACTTCATGTTTGATGGCTTTTAAGCGATCAGAGGAGAAGTTGTGCTTCTTTTGGACGACCGGTTTAAAGGTCAGATCAACATTTAAAGAGTGCATTATTTATGGGTCGACTACAAGCATGTTGGTCGGGGTCCATGTAAAAATATCTTGGTCATTTGGAGAAGATCAATATATTTTGAACTTTGCTCATTAGAAAGTGTGGAACCAAGCTGCACTGTTCGTTTGGGGTGCTCATCAAAGAGTAGGATGTGGACCAATGCTTCAACGGGAAAAGCCTGTTGAGATACACTCTCATCATAAAAGATCAAAGTTCTCAACACTAAGTGTCGCCGATGGGTGTGGTCGGGCTTGCTCTAGATAACATGATTGTGCTATCTGCTGATCTCCTCGTACAACGACATCCCTGCTGGAGTTGGGAACTTGAGTTTCAGGTGTGCCACAGAAGTCGCAATGTTAAAGATGGATTGCAGGGACCTCCCGAAGATGTCATTATATGTTGTTTCTGACTTGACGACGATGAACTGTATTGAGTGCGTCTTATGTCGACAAAAATCTCTTATAACAATGGGGAGAATTATCATTCCTTCAACCCTTACCAGTCGATTGTCAAAACTAAACAATGGATCTAAAGAGGGTTGAAGCCTTTCCCTTATCAATCCCAAGCTAAGGAAGTGGAGTAGAACAACACGTCGCAGAGCTATCATTCTCGATCAGGAACCTTTTCATGTTGTAGCAATGATCGTCAATTCTTGCACTAATAACAGGAGGATCTTAGCGAGGGACTTGGAAATCATCGAAAGTGATATGCTTGAAGCATAGTTTCTTCTGCATCGGTTCTCTACGTGTAGTGATAAGTACTTGATCGGTCAACAACTGGCCTCCAGCAATTGTCTGAATTTCTCCCCTCCATTTAGTGATTCTCACGTTGTTGCTTTTGTGTCTGTAGCCCCCCCAGTGGGAGCGTTATCGATACTCACTAGTTTGCTATGAACAAATCAGCTAAGATATGCCTGCTGAACA